TGGTGAGATCGCGCCTGGAAACTCCGCCTGTTTTCCGTCTCACTTGTGTGGCTTCTGTTCCGTGTGACCGCAGCCAAACACTGGCTCTTTTTATCATATGTGGTGGACATGTAAAGTTGCTAAAAAATTATTGGACTTGGATACATGAGATATTGCAAAAAATGCTAGATATAAATATACCATTTGTACCAGAGTTGTTTTTGTTAAATATCGTACCACAAAACGAAGAAAGCAAATACATATACGATTATGCATGTTGTAACAATAGCTAGGACATTGGATGCTAAGTATTGGAAAAAAGAAGAAAGCCCAACAAAAGAAATGATTCATAAACTTCCAGAAGCAGCAGAAATTGATAACCTTGCAACTACAAGATAAAAAAGAAGAATCCTTCGAGAAAAACTGATTGAGGTTATATAAATGGATAGAAGATTATCTTGGAAGACTGGCATAATGACTCTCAGAAAGGAAATATATAAACTAACTTAGGCGCATACGGATAAGATTCAAGGATACCATGTGAAATTAAACCAGAGACTAGAGTACAAGCTCCAATGTATGTTTACTGTTCTGTTATTTTTTGTTTTGTGTTGTTTTCTTTGTCTGTGTTTGTGTTTTTTATTTCTGAAACTAATAAAATTGTTTATAAAAAAATTCATGAAAGTTCATGATGGTAGACTCATCACAAACTTTGGTTCACGAAACATAAACAGGTCAAAATTCATGATGGATTTTTCTTTGTGGTTCAATTTGTGCCCATACCTAGTTATTACATCCAGAAATATAAAAACCAGCTCGTAGCTAATATAAGCTATGTATACTTTATGAATTAATATGACTGGGGGAATGCATTTTGTGCGTGCTCAGAATAATTTCATAGGGAATATTGGGGTGAAGTTTGTGATTGGAAATCTGTTGATCAGTCTTTAGGTCCTTATGCCTATTTAATAAAAATTGTTCCAAGACTGCACAGAGAGAAGTAAAAACAGGCTTGTGCCTTCCTAGGGAGAGGCTCAGGCCCCAGTTATGATCAGAGCTGGTAACATTAAAGCTGTCTCTTGAACAAAAATGGGATGGACTCATCAGTGAAGTTAAGCTTACAGGTTTCTTTTGTATCAAAGCTTTCTTTCTCACTGTATTTACTGAAAAAGCCTTTATAGAGTAAAATACAGAATAGAAAATTCAAACCATCAAATGGCTACAACCACTACATTAAAATAGGCTGAATGAACTCACTGTTAGTTCTTAACCTCAAAGCTTATGCAGTATTACAGGTTTCTTTTGTATCAAAGCTTTCTTTCTCACTGTATTTACTGAAAAAGCCTTTATAGAGTAAAATACAGAATAGAAAATTCAAACCATCAAATGGCTACAACCACTACATTAAAATAGGCTGAATGAACTCACTGTTAGTTCTTAACCTCAAAGCTTATGCAGTATTGATTTTCTTAGACCATAATACATTGTGTGCAATGCCAATGTGCATGAGATAAATTAATTCAGGTAGCTGTCACAAAAGCAATGAATCTGGAGACTGACTTAGAGAGTATTGTTTTGATATTTCATCCCTTTATTCATAGCTATGTGGATTTGGTCATTTGTTTGCTTATTTTTTTAAATTACTGCATACCTACACTCATTAAGTCTGTTTTGCATTGCATAATGAAATGTAATCCCTGATTGAGGCTTGCAAACTTATTTAATTGTGTTTTGTATTATGTTTGAAAAATACATATACAGGATACCATTTTTGCATTAAATATAATCAATGTAATTATTTTTTTCTAGGGAAACAAATTCATTAAAAATCTAATTTAAGGAAGCAGTAGCAATACAGAAATGTCTTACAATAAAGCTAATAAGAAAACTAGAAATCAGTTTTGTATGATAGTTTTGCATAATTAGGCAATGTTACTTTCTATGCAGTATTTAAATTGTTTTTGCAAAAGTTGGAAAGTTATATTTGCATATTTGCTAATGACATTGAATACCTTGGGCTAAAAGAACACTACAGAAATTTGTAATGTAATAATTGGAACCTCTTGTGTGCTGCCTTATGGACATCTATTGTATTTATTTGTATTTATTTAATAAAATTTATATCTTGCCATGCAGTATTTAAATTGTTTTTGCAAAAGTTGGAAAGTTATATTTGCATATTTGCTAATGACATTGAATACCTTGGGCTAAAAGAACACTACAGAAATTTGTAATGTAATAATTGGAACCTCTTGTGTGCTGCCTTATGGACATCTATTGTATTTATTTGTATTTATTTAATAAAATTTATATCTTGCCGTTCTGTCCTCGTAATGGCCAGCAAGGCAGCTAATAAATTAAAGCATCAATAAAATCACATCTTAAGAACCACTGAAACCAACAAAACACACATCATTAAAAGAACTAAAGCCAGAGCTAAAATATATTAAAAGTATAAAAACAGTTGTGTCAGTTATGAACAATTATGTCGGTTATTATGATAACCTTTTTTATTTGTTTTGTTTTTCAGCTGGCTCTGAATAAGGGGGAGAGGACCAGCCTCGCCGCCGCCGAGCCCGGAAAAGGGGGGGGAAGGACTGGCCTCTCCGCCGACGCCTCGGAGCCGGGCGGGCGGGGGGAGGACCGACCTCGCTGCCGCTGCCACCGCCGCCGAGCCCGGCAAGGGGGGGGAAGGACCGGCCTCTCCGCCTCCGCCTCGGAGCCGGGCGGGCGGGGGGAGGACCAGCCTCGCCGCCGCTGCCGCCACCGCCGAGCCCGGCAAAGGGGGGGAGGACCAGCCTCTCCGCCGCCGCTGCTGCCTCGGAGCCAAGCGGGCGGGCGGGGGGAGGACCGGCCTCGCCGCCGCCGCCTCCTCCTTGGGGAGATCGAGTGGGGGGAAAGGAGGAGACGGAGCTCTTCTCCCCCCCCGCGAGTATCATCCTTTACACTACAGTCTTCTCCATTAGAATTCCTGCAACAAATTTTACATTTCAGACTTCATGTCATCAGTATTATAACTGGATTTACGAAACTTAAATACTGTAGTGAAGCATGGGTATCAGGCTAGTAGAAAATAAAAACTCATAAATAATAGTTATAGACTATTCTAAAACCTTCTGAAACCAATCCAACACTAAAAGTGCTAGTATCTCAATAAACCTGTCAATCCTTAAGACTCCAAAGAAGCCTTTCTGATCCTGGAAAAAAGGAACGTAGATCACATACATAAATCACATAACTAAATGCACACTGGATAAATGATTTGTCCTAGAATGACCACCAGAGGTCCCCATATTTCTAAAAATGTTTCAAAAAATTATTGCATCTGTTTCCTCAAATGTAGTCCAAAGGCAGTAAACCTTACCTTTTCTCACCTGATTGTTCTTTGATTTTTTAGTTTTAAAAAGCCTATGAAGTTTGGTTATCATCACATGCATGGCTTCTTTTTCCACTGTACTTACAACTAAATGCACCTCATCATATAACAGTTAAATTGATTACAAAGTTACAATTATACCAGTAATGAGGAAACATTAGTTGGAAAATGTTAAATTTCATATAAAGTATATTTTGTCACTGCTTAACCCAGTTTACCTGTCCTTGAGACTGTCTACAGAGGAAATTTTGGGCTAAAAATTAGGTGTAGCTCAATTTTTTAATACACAATTTTATTAGTTTCAGAAATAAAAAACACAAACACAGACAAAGAAAACAACACAAAACAAAAAATAACAGAACAGTAAACATACATTGGAGCTTGTA